TCGTGTGGTCTATCTGATGAGACATGATGATGGTTTTGGTGCTGAAAAGCCCAAGTCAGTGCTGCATAATCAGTTAATACTTCAAATGGCCGCCCTTCAAGATATGGTCTCCACTTCTCTACCGCCCATACCACTGTTAAGCATTCCTTCTCTGCTATGGAGTAGGACTTTTCAGCCCCTCTCAGTAGTCTGGATACATATGCAATAACGTTCCCTTCTCCTGCAGATTCTTGTGTAAGAACTGCTCCCAATCCAATTTCACTGGTATCGGTTTGAACTCAGAATGTTTGGTAGAAGTCTGGAGACGTTAGAATAGGACCTTGTGTTAAGTCTTGTTTGATAAGGTCAAATGCTTTTTCGCACCGATCAAGTACATGTTGAGTTTTTCTTTTTCAATGCATGAAGTGGCGCAGCCTTTTCTGAGAATTTGGGAATGAACTGATGGTACCAACCGGCTAAGCCCAAAAACCTTTGGACCTCTTTGAGAGACTGTGGGATGGGAAATGAACTAACTGCTGACACCTTTGCGGGGTCGGTTTTGATATCTTCACTTGAAATAACATGACCTAGGAATGTAAAAGACTTCTGAATGAAATTAAACTTTTTGAGGTTGAGAGTGAGACCTGCTTTGTGGAAACAATTGAAAACCTGCTGGAGATGTTGAACATGGTCTTGCTTATTCTTGGAATAGACCACGATGTCATCAATGTAAACCATGCAACATTTACCTTTCAACATTAGTCTCTGGATGGATGCTGCTGCATTTTTCACCCAAAAGGAAGACACAGAAATTAATATAGCCCTGAAGATGTGATAAAGGCTGTTTTTTGAATGCTGTCTGCCTCCATTTCTAGTTGCCAATAGCCACTCCTTTAGTCAAGTGTAGTGTATACAGTTGCCCCATGGAATGACTCTAAGATGTCCTATTTTTGTGGCATAGAATAGGCATCAAGGAAAGTTTAGGCATTCAGCCCATGGTAATCAAGTCTGGAACCCCCATCTTTTTTTCTGTACCACCACCACTGGTGCTGCCCAGGGGAGCTATATGGTTGAATGATTTTCTTTTCTAGCAGCTCCTTGATTTGACTTTCAATGAAAATCTGCTTTTCGATGGAAATCTTGTATGCTTTCTTTCTAGCAGGACGTTCATCTGTGGTCATGATACGGTGCTTGACCAAGTCGGTATGTCCAATTTCCTGGTTGCAAACAGCGGGCCAACTTAATATCAGATTGTCCAGTTCTTGCTGTGTCCGCGCATGTCAGTATCTGCTTGTTCTGATAGTTGATGTATAGACTGGAATACTTCATCACTGCAGGGTGTTAAGGGTATGGCAAGCTAAAATACATGGTAAAATGAATGTCCTGCTGAAGGAATGGAAAAGTGACAGGTGCTTCAGTGCCTTCTATTGGGGGCTAAAGTATACTGAGCCTCATTAAAGTCCAAAATCGACCCTGCTCTTTACTTTTCCACACATCCTTCCCAACAGCAGTTTGTCATTGCCCGTTGGCCAGAAGGAAAGCTCCAATGGGTAGGTGTGTTTCTTTTCTGCTTAATCGTTTGCAACATGATTTTTGAATTAGTGACAACGTACTGCCAGTGTCCACCAAAGTGGTTAAATCTGTGTCTTGTGGTTGTATGGGAATGATAAGATTTTAGATGTGGCATTGCACAGTATTTTGGCAAGTTTGGACAACTCTGGTATTAGCTGTGGTTGTTCTGCATTGTGAATCATTGACTGAAGTATTTCTCTTCTTCTGCTCATTCACACTGACTTGGGTCCAGTATTTCTTGGACTCACCAAAGTCTCTTTTTTTATCTGTGTACCCACTCTTACGAGTTCTCCTACATCTTTAATATTTCCACGTAGCAAGCTAGCAAGCTGTGGCTAGCAGTTGCACAAGCAAGCTTGAACAATCTCTCTTTCTGATATTTCCTTCTTCCATCTCAAGCAAAGAGCTTGGTAGTGAAAAGCAAAGTCTCTGAAGCTTTCCTTGCACCTTGTCTTCTCTCCATCAGCTTCCTCACTGCCACCTCTTCATAATCATCAATCAGAAACTATTGCAGAAATATCTCTTTAAATTGTTTCATGACTAGCCATATTATTTTTATTTTATTTATTTTTATTTATTTATTTTTTGTGACAAACACTGGGAAATTCTCAATAATGTATATTAAGCTTGTTGGTGACCCCACGTTGGACACCAATTCTATAACCGCCATCCACAAAAGAGGCACACAGCTATATGAATAACAGGAGGGGCCCACCAACTAATAACTTAATGCTGCTTAAAAAAAGAAGCCTTAGCGTATCTTCTCAGTATGTCACAAACAATAAAGACAAAAATTGAATTTTTATACCTTTATATAAACTGAATGTTTTAGATAAACAAAACAAAATGTGTACACAAAAATAAGAATGAACTGAAAGAAAACCAGTACAGTAACTCAAATCAATATACACACAGATGGTCTGTAAAATAATGTGAATGAATAGAAAAGAATATGACAATGAATATAAAAAGCTTATCTGACAGTTCAGAGTTGTAGATTAGTGACGCTTTGGGTAAGTATGGAATCACTGCAAAAATAAATAGCAATTAGCCCTTCAAGTGCTCTTCAAGTAATCAAAAAAAAAAAATAATAATAAAATAAAGTAATATTTTACGAGTCCATCTACAAAAAGAACAGAAACCTAGCATTAGCTAGAAAGCCCACACATAAATTATGCAGATCAAGTAAAAGCAAATACACAATGCACAACAGAACATAAGGAGAATCAAAACTTACATGATTTAACTGGAAACAAAGTTTCTCAATCAAGATTCCTATGAAATTTGTAGAGGTGCTAAGGCAATACCATGCTTCCCCTTTTCCAAACAAATCTAACTTCTTATACTCTACTACCTGATTAAATACATGGGGTTTTATCACAAAAGCAATCAAGTACCCCCTAGAGGTGAATAGGAAAAAAACAAAAAAAACAGCTAGCCTTGTTACAACTTTACATAAAATTCAAACAAATATTCATGAGATGACAAAAATAATTGCTTCAAAATTCATATTTTCAGTATGGATGTGTTTAATCATTTATACTGTAGAGCAAAATGTCTAAGTATTGTCACTTTATATTTACCACAGACCTTGTTTTACTCATACTACAATTTGGAACAAAGTAATTTATTTTGAAATGATTATGCCAAAGGTATCCGGATGGTATAGCTATTTCCAATGGAAATTAGAAATGCAGATCCATGCACACTCTGACAGCAAATTTTGCCGACAACCCATTGCTCGTTAGCTGAGTATTCGATTAGAACTACAAACACGAAAAGTCTTAAAAATCTACAAACATAGCAGATATGCAAGACCAATGGACAAGTACTGAAAGGGGTTTGAGTGATTAATAAACAATATCTAACATGATGAAAAAATATTTATATAATCGTATTTGCATCATATTTTATTTACATCAATATTGTGAGCTTTTACACTGAACAAAATTATAAACGTAACACTTTTGACGCAAGTTTTGAGGGAGCGTGCAATTGGCATGCTGACTGCAGGAATGTCCACCAGAGCTGTTGCCCCTGAATTGAATGTTCATTTCTCTACCATAAGCCACCTCCAAAGGCGTTTCAGAGAATTTGGCAGCACATCCAACAGGCCTCACAACCGCAGACCACGTGTAACATTTGAGTTCAGCTCATGAAAAATGGGGGCAAAAACAAAAGTGTTGCGTTTATAATTTTGTTCAGTGTATTAAGATACATTTGGTCATAAACTTTTCAATGCATCATTATGCAAACACATTAGGATAGTTCTCGGCATGAAAGACACATAACTGGCAGATCAGCGCGTCTCTTCATTTTTCTCCAATAAAGTAGGAAATTAAATTAAACAAAATGTGGATAATGCTAACAGTGACAAGATGATTGACAGGGCAGTTTAAACAGAGACAAAATGCACATGACTAAGCAACAGAGCGGTCCATTAAAGACGCAGTTATGACAAAGTAGTATGTCCCATAGCTTAAGCACTGTGTTTTTAGAACACTTGTCATGTGCAAGACGATGCAGAAGACAAAATAAAAGATCGCTGTCTAGTGCATGTTTACAAAAACTATTGAAAAGTAGCACAATGGAATGGAAAAATGCAGTCTGTGTGAATGGTGCCTTAGTCTTCCGCATTTTGACATTGCAGCTGCAGCACTCTATTTTTTTTTGCAACAGAGCGGTCCATTAAAGACGCAGTTATGACAAAGTAGTATGTCCCATAGCTTAAGCACTGTGTTTTTAGAACACTTGTCATGTGCAAGACGATGCAGAAGACAAAATAAAAGATCGCTGTCTAGTGCATGTTTACAAAAACTATTGAAAAGTAGCACAATGGAATGGAAAAATGCAGTCTGTGTGAATGGCGCCTTAGTCTTCCGCATTTTGACATTGCAGCTGCAGCACTCTATTTTTTTTAATAAACTAAAAGACATACAATTCAATTTGTATAGGTATGGAATTAAAGTTATAAATTGTACTATACATTAGCTTGCTTATTTTGCTCAAGAGCATGATCTATTTGAGACCATATGTCATACTAACAAGTAACTTCGAAACAGAAACTGGTCGAGAGTTGTAGTTTCAACAACAACTTTGCTGTTTTGTTTGCGAATGTTCATTTGAACAATGGTTTTGGGAAACACTCAGTCAAAACACAATGGAACTTGCAACTGGCTAACAATGCTTTTGAAATACACATCCCTGAAAAAGCAAAGATGATTTTAAATTGTGTACTTCTGGGTGTCCAGCGCCAGCTGAACAACTGCCATTACATAGACCTAAATAGAAATGCTTACTGAAAGCAGGTACTGAAGACTCTAATTAAATTAAATAATTATTTCCACCAAGTTAAATAAAATGTACAAATTAGTAATAATAGGTCAGGATAACATTACATAGCAATACACATCAATGAGATTTAATATTGTATGGATCAGTGAGATTACCCATCTGGATCTCTTTTCTTCCAGTTGGCAAGGACTGCATCAGTGTAGATGAGAATCGGGGGCAGACCCAGTCTCTGAGACACCTCACAGAATGGCACCGACAGATTCCGCGGAAGCACCTGGAGGTTCATAACAAACATAAAAAGTCAAACAGTTCAGTTCTGTGCTTCAGTCCTATTAGTGGTTTTGGAATGCATATAAAATGATTGTTGTACTTTTATTGTTTCTCTCTCGCCCTCTTGCCATACGTAACCCACAGTCATCATGCTCAAAGCCAGATGGGCCAAACGCAGCTCACAATGTGTCCGCAACAAATGAGTCTCCAACAGAGGCATCTGAGATATACAGAACACAAAACAATCACAGGAACAATCATAATTTTATTATTAACCTTTTTCAGACCCTGCATCCATTCTAACCATCCAGCCGATGTGTGTGTGTGTAAATACATATAGCAGCTGACTAACATCAGTTAAAGAAGCAGCAGAAATCTGAGCTAATCCCAATACAGTCTGTCTCTGAGGGTCCCCCCGCCACACACACACACACACACACACACACTTGGTACCTAAATCACAAAAGATTATTAGATTTAAAGTCAGTCTGAGTGCACAATGTCTGGATTTGAGCTTTAAAGATGTCAAATTTAAAGAGGTCTGTTCTCCCCTAAGTCAGAAGGAAGAGAATTCCAAAGGGTCCCAGTTCAGGTCCTGGCAGCTGAGATTTGTACACATTGCAGCTTGTTAAAGTCTGTGTGATCCGGAAGTTGGGGCCAACTTTACTTCAATGATGTATTTCCAGCTGAAATAGAATATTAAATAGAGGGCAGGGTTTTATTTTAGTACACCTCTCGCTCACAGGAAACTAATGGTTGGAAGGGCCTGGTTAAGAATACTCTGCCCAAGCCGTCAAACTGACGTCATCAGAGAAGGAATGCCATTCCAGAGCAGAAGTAAATGTTCAGATTTTGATTAAAGATTACCAAATTAAACTTTTTTTTTCCAGTGGATTAATTGTTCACCTCAAGACTAGCAATGTGCGATAGCAAAGTAAATAGTGTACATTTTTATTTCAAGAGGACTTTAAGTGGAGATTTAGAAACTCCGGTTAAACGGGCATTACAGTAATCTATCCGAGAAACAACGAACAAATAGATTAATTGAAACTTGAAAAAAAGGATGCTTTAACAGTGCTATGTACAAAATAATAAAATGTAAGACTGGCATCGAAAATAACTCCAAGGTTCCTTATTTTACTTTTGGTCTCCAAAACAGAGCCATCAACAGACAAAGTAAGTGAAGTAGCTTTAAAAAAGTTGACGACGGGAACCAATAAGCATGACTTCAGTTTTACTACTATTCAGGCAGAGAAAAGTATCATTCATTCTTGTTTTTATCTCAGAAATACAATCAGATAGATAACAGATGTCAAGGATTTTAGCAGGTTTTGAGTATTGTTGGGATGGTTGTTGTTGCAGCATGGACTGTATTTAGAATGACATGAGTTATTTACAGTTGTTCATGCCTTCATAGTGCAAGCCAGGATTTGTTGTATTCAATAAAAGTAATTTACACATCCATTACATTAATAGTATAGGATAGAATGAAACATGGTAGCAGCGGTGCATTTTTGAAGAGTAAGAGCACAGAGATTTAGCAGAGACAACGAGAGAGACCGGCTGAGTAGTCTGCAATGAATAATTAATAATACTGAGGATAACAGGGCACAAAACATCAAAGCAAGATTTAAATAAGCTTGTGGAAATAGGACTAAGCACACAAGTAGTAGATTTCATGCTAGATACCTCCCTTTTTTAGAGGCTCAGAATAATGCTGTGGAAAATGTGTAAGAGAAATACCAGTAAATCCAGAAGGACAAAATAGTGAAGCAGTTGTGACAAATTTGTTTACAAACATTATCAGTTTTAGAATTGAAAAAAAATAATAATACAGGAATTACACAGCAGTTGAGAATCAGGCAAGGAGGTAACAGTATTAACTTGAAGCAATCTATGCATAGTTTGAAACATGTGTATGGGATTTCCTTGATTATTTACAATAGTCTGAGAGAAATAAGATGATCTTTCAGTCTCAATTAATTCTCTGTAGTCATCCAGAAGATACTCCATAAGCTTGATAATAGACATTCAAGCCAGTAAGGTGCCATTTATACTCCATTTTCCGACAAGCAGTCTTCCTAGTGCACAGATTGTCATTATACCAAGGAGCAGAGTGGGCGAAAGTAATGTTACATGACCTTAGAGGAGCAAAAGAGTCTAAATTAGTAGCCAGAGCATTATTTCTCCTCCAAAGATGTAGAAGACAGATCACTTAAAGTGGAGACAACACAATTTGAAAAATCTATCTGATCAATAGACTTCTATTAACATACGGGGATTGTAAATCTCCCACACGCTTCCCACAAGCTAACACAAGAAGGAGGGCTGTCTTAAACCAGAGCGGGGTGGTTTGGCAGTGCACTAAGCATTAATGATAAGTCCCTCACAGGCATTAAACGAGGGCGGGGAGGGCTCAAATGCCTCTCATCCCTTAAGAAGCTCGTAACGAGGGGGTGCTTACCCGCCGCAGCACTAGTGGCATTAACTTGACAGGTGCCAAACGCTGGTCTGTCAGTGACACGTCTGTGGTGATGACTTTCCACCTAACCACTCTGCCCATAATAACTCCCCGCTCGTACATGCTCCTGTCAATCCACGGCGCCAGCACACTCATAAATGCGCACAGTACCACAATGAACGCCATCTCCACTTCCCCCACGCCCTGCAGCACGCGATCATTCAGCCAGACTTGTGACAGCCTCGTATGCAGCAAACCCAGGCAGCAAACGGTGACTATGGCTGCCATCAGACCAAGCAGTCTCTGGTACAATTTCAAGGGAACAGCCTTGCCTGGCACAAAAGAGGTCAAAGCATTGAGTATGGCTTGAAATCTCTCTGCTGATAACCCCGCAATCATAGAGTGCAAGTCCAAATTCATCCCCAGGAATGCAATGGACTGGCATGGCTGCAGCGTGCTCTTTTGCATGTTCACTGAAAGACCTAGGCGAGCTAAATGGACGAGGAGCTTACGTTTGTGCTCCTCTAGCACCGTTCGGGACTGAGCGATGATGAGCCAGTCGTCGAGGTTCAGCATGCACATTCCGCATAGTCTCAGGGGAGAAAGCACTGCGTTCATGCACATCATGAAAGTGCACGGTGCCAGAGCCAGGCCGAATGGCAGGACTTTGAATTGATAAGTAACGTCCTCGAAAGTAAATCTCAGAAAGTGCCTTAGATGAGGGGCTATCTGGATATGAAAGTAGACATCTTTCAGGTCTACCGATATGAAGGTCTACCACTATTCCCCCATCTTTTTTCGGCACTAAGAAGTAGCGGCTGTACAGCCCACACTCTCGCTGCTCGTTGGGCACTCTCTCTGGTTAGAAGAGAGAGAATTTCTGCATGCAGCAGTGGGGCACTCTGCTCCGGCACCTCTGACATGATCATGCCACTGAAGCGGGATGGTCTGCGAGCTAAATCCCCGTAACGGAACTTCTTTGATGACCCCTGACATAATGGCGACTTGGGATCGCAACGCGAGCTGACAAAGACCTCGATCTCGTGGAGAATGGAGCATTGGCACGCACAGTTTACGGAAAATACTCCAGGTCCGGGCCCTCCTCAACCAGGGACTTCAGGAGCCTCATCTGGAAAACCTGCAGGATCGCCATTGTATGAAGGGCAGATGCTGCATGTCGAGCAGCAATGTATGCCTTCTCAGCGATGTGGGCTGTGGTCCTACATGGCTTAGAAGGCAGAGATACGGACTTCCATCCTTGGGACGGACTTGCCGAAAAAGGGAGCTGGTCTTTGCGGGACGTCTGACTGGCAGCCTGCCTTGAGATACGACCTGTCCATCCATTTCCTGGTTGGCTGCCATTGGCTATTTCTGTGCAATAGTGGGATTCAATGAGGCTTCAGGAAAGTTTGGAGAAGGATTTCCACTAGCGATTACACAATGTTGAGAGACCAAACTGAAAGGAAACAGAAGTAAAAACGACAGTCCAAAATATAGAAAATGGCACCACCTCATTGCAACCATAAAAGCAATGAAAACAAGATTACTTAAATAACTTGAATAAAACAAAGAAACAAAATGGTGAGAGAAGAGGCAGCCAAATGCACCATCATACATTAACCAGCATTACAACATCTGGCTGTTGCACCTGTTCAGAAACAATTAGCGTTAGAAATAACAGATCAATGATTTTAACTGTAATTAATAAAATTATAAACAAATGTGTTTATTGATTTTTATATAATATATAAAAAGTGTTCTTATTTTTGTCTAAAGGAAACATAATTTGTATAAATAATACTTTGTGAAATGAAGTTGAAATGTGACATTAGTAAGTACACAAGTATAACTTACTTTTACTCAGTTTAACTTGTTAGAGTTCACATAGCTTTAATTGATTCCATCAATGAAATTCAAAATGAATAATTCTATCAGAAACAAGTTATCTGTGCAGGTAAGACTCTTTCAATATTATGTTCTTAGTATGAAAGATCATACATTGTGAATTCTGAGGCGCAAAGAATGGGAAAAGATGAGTTCTAGCACATTTCTGGCAATGTCCATCCAGGGCTTGTAGTACACCGGAAGGTCTTTCTGAAACACAATGTAGATGTGTACGATTATATAGTATGTGTCTATAATACAGTCCATAATAACATATGAAAAAATGCTCAAGAACATATATTGTTACATCATAATATATATTCTTATCTAATATAGTATAATTTTCATTTTATTTACTGTTATGCAAATATTTTGATTTAAAAAATCCTATGCATACTTTATATTTAATTTACATCATGAATAAATGTATCCACTAAAAGTACCATACAGTTATGCTTTTTTCTCCTCCATAAAATTAAATACGACAGATTACATAGTCCCTAGGTGTATCTTGAGGTGGTTTCTAAGTTTTAAACCAATCATTAAAAGAGATGCATAATCCCATACTAAATGTAAGTCAAAGTTAACAAGTTATTAATTTTAAAAATAAAAAAATTAACTGCACTTGTCACCAAATTTACATCAAAGTCATCTTACAAATATTTCTAAGACCACTGTCTATCAGATTCTGAATATCAGAATGATCAAAATCATAAAATTGTGTTTTTGGAGAGAAAAGTTTTTATTAACCTAATTATCATTAAAGCAAATAGATAAAGGTCACTCAGAAAGCAAACTGTCAAAGTGTTATGCTGTCATATACAAAAATGTCTTACTGTGTCTGAATATATATGACTATACAGTGCATGAATGCAAATGATAGTTTGTTAAAACCTTCTCACCAGCACAGTGACACTCTCAATGTTTTACTATAACAAGTAATAAAACAAACTGCAATTTTGTACCTGTGAGCAATTAATCCTTTTTTTTTTTTTTGTCATAAATTTGCCTTTTCCCTGCCAGTTCATTCCCCTATATTGTACATTGCATAAAATGCCAATTTATTACATTCTTACTACGATGTTACAATTTGCCAAGAAAAAAAAGACCTACCAGAGGCTCAGGAAGAATAAACCCACAATCCTCAGAGATGTGAAACTGTCCCAAAGACAATAGTGTCTCTGTATTTTTCACTTTAGTGTCCATAATTTTTAGTACAGTACTAGTAACTGACTCTCCATATATCCCACTGTCACCACTCTAGAGGTGGAATGAACCTTATCTGCTGGGCAACAAAAAAATGTTCTTTCTTTTTCTGTTCTACCATTAACAATGACCTTTCCTCACTTCCCCTATCAGAGAGATAATCAGACCCGGAGTGGCACCACCACCATAAATGCAGTTTCACATGGGACAAGGCAAGTGTCTGGTGCATTTTTAAAGAGAGACACACATAGACTTGTGCCGGTATTCGGTAATGTGATATATCACGGTAATGAATATGCATGATATTGTTATCGTGGGCACTTCTAAATACCGTGAATAATTATATATTACAAATTATTTAGAATTTTGAATGCATTTTAAGAATACTTTTCCCATCAACTGGTCAAAATGCACAACACCGCTGTATGCTGCGTGAAAGACTGGGTGTGCACTCTGATGTAAACAAGCGCGGACGAGAAGCACATGGCGGAACATGTGAGAGACGCTCTGGATGAAAGCGCACTTTCACTCTCTGACAGCAGATGGCGCTAAACTGCAGAAATAATAATAATAATAATAATAATTCATTTAAATGCAGCCGTTACCCCGGAAACCCTGTAAACAAAGCAGCTGCACTACTTTCTGTTTCTGAAAGGTGCTTAAATGATTTAAACAGCCATTCAGATTTGTGTATTTGCTATGATGTTCACTTTTTTTTAAAACTAAATTACAACATCGTGATAATACCGTATACCGTGATAAAAGCATTAGCAATTAATCGCAACATGAGAATTTGATACCGGCATATCCCTAGACACACATAATGTGGCAAATCACAGGTGGTTTTGGTTGCAGTGAAGATGGTGTGCAATCTTGTAAATTGTAATATTGGATGGGCCTAAATCTCCCACTTCTCCCTGCTTTCTCTTTATACTTCACACAAATGCAGAAAAAGCATGTGTGTTACATTATTGTATAACTAATCACCACATTTACTTTGTATTTAATGCAAATTCTCTCTCTCTCTCTCTCTCTCACAGACAGACAGACACACGTTTGTACAGTTAGCTTTGCAGGGACTTGCCGTAGATTTCAAACGTTTTTGCCTAACAATATTTTCTATCCACTAAACACAAACTTATCCCTCACAGAAACCTTTTTGAATTTTCAGATAAATTATAAAACATCATTTAGTATTTTTTAATAATTTATTTCACTGTTGGCCAGTCCCCACAATGTCAAAAAAAGTCAGATTTTACTTTCCTTGTGGGGACATTTGTCCCCCACAATTGAGGATAAACCTGTACACACAGACACACACACACTCACAAGTGAGAAATAGTGAATCCACATAGGCAGGCATATGTACCATGTACATTACAGATAGTAGTTATAAAATTAAATGTTCATGTGCTAGGTTTAAATATATATATATATTTTTTTTTTACAGTCAAAATGACGGGAATGTTTTTTTGTTAGTATACATCAGTGTTTTTTGTTTAACTCAACCTCAGTTAGGGTTGTGAACTGGTCACACACATGAGCACTGTTAATATAAAAATATATCAAACAGCTAGTGTTAAAATCCGGCAAACATTTTTTCAGTTTTTCAGCTTTTAACATTACAATTAAAAAAATCAGTAGAGTTTGTTACTGATACAAGTTTTGTTTAGCAAAAAAGAATCAAGTATCTTACACTGTTCTGTGTGAGATGTATTCCCACAACTGCCCTCTAACACCGACGGATATTTGCGCACATACACACGGTGTAGCTAAGGTGTAGATTTAAATATTGGTAAAAGAATTAAACTAAATAATGAACAACAAAAAATATATATATTTATATTCAAGCCTTTCAAGCTTTGGTCCTCTACTACAGGAGAGCAAACACTCACACAAATAGTTAAATGTTTGAATTTTTATGACATCATGTGGAATGCAGTTGTTTTGTATCATACACTTGCTAGGAGATGATATCGGGTGTAATCAGTAGTGCGTGCATATCAACCACACAAAGAATGTAAAACATCTTCTAAGGAAGTTCCACGGTGTTCAACAATACTGGTCTGGTGAGTTTGCGCGTGATCCATTGTGAACCTTATAGTTCAGGATAAAAGTTCAAGCTAAATTTTCAATGCAATTAATTACACAATTTGAAAGTCAAAGTGAAGTGACATGTGGCCGAGTATGGTGACCCATTTTCGGAATCTGTGCTCTGCATTTAACCCATCCAAGTGCACACACACAGTAGAGAACACACACACCTTGAACACACACCCGTGGCAGTGGGCACCCATATTGCTGCGGCACCCGGGGAGCAGTTGGAGGTTCGGTGCCTTGCTCAAGGGTCTCACCTCAGTCGTGGTATTGAGGGTGGAAGAGAGTGCTGGTTATTCACTCCCCCCACCACCAATTCCTGCCGGACATGAGACTCGAACCCACAACCTTCGGGTTATAAGTCCGACTCTCTAACCATCAAATGGCTTAGCAATTATTGTGTTAAGGAGAAAACATCGTATAGACTACAAAAATTACCTTTAGTAAGAAAAATTTTACTGGATTCAGCACAGAATTTATTACACATACTTTTAGGCTACAACAGCCATGATTTGTTTTATTTATTTATTTTTCTTTCTTTTTTTCAGAAGCTACATCTGAATATTCATTTAGATACATTTTACAGACTGTTTATTGCAGCTCAGAGGTAGCATGAATGCATTTAATGCAATTACAATTGCATAAATAATGCAATGAAATTAATGGGTTTTAAATGGGTATTAAAGGGATAGTTATCGCAAAAATTACATTTCTGTCATCATTTACTCACCCTCGTGTCGTTTCAAACCTGTATGACTTTCTTTCTTCTGTGGAACATAAGTAAGAGATAATCCATGGCTAGCTGTGCATTAAATGATTTTAATGCATGACTTGGAGGCAAAGAACCACCCTATGTGAATCATTAAATGCACAGCTAGTCATGGAATATCCCGCTTATCCACCTTTTTCCTAGCGAGTGTTATACATATAGAAAGGAGCAGGCGTCGTTTCTGGTGCAACACATTTAATAAGATTGTTTGCATGCAAATCTGCAAGAAAAGATATGACAGTATAAAGTCAATCACATATGGAACGTCGCAATTATGTGTTATCTATCTGCTCGTCTCCGCATGAACTGCTGTATTACTGTATCATAAACTCAGTATACCATTTTCTAAATGCTGTATAATTTATTCCCTGTTGTTCACGAACAAATGTAAACATCTTGACTTGCAAATACAGTTTGCATATCAAGCATATGAACATGAATTTTGCTCAATAACATCAAAGATAACAATGTTGAACTTAATTTGAACCTTTACATTATTCTTTCTCCGTTTAACCACTTTCCAGAGTACATACATTCTCTGTTCAAGCATGACTTATTTACTCTAAATAAACCATGACACTTTAATGTTTTCTTATGTCACATTTTACAACTCTTTGGTTTCATAAGCGAGCATATCACCTCGTTTGAGTTGTTGGTAGGGATGCACCGATACCAGTACACCGATTTCCAGTACTCGCCCGATACCGATACTTTTATTTTTGGTACTTGCCGATACCGAGTACCGATACCGATATTTTTATAGCATTTGTACATTTTTTAGTAACTTGTGCATTGTTTTACTTGTTTTTGACATATCCGACCGAACTACAAACTTTCCAGTGATGTCTGTGAGAAAGATATATTCACTCGACAAGCTCGAGTGACAAGCTTTGTTTATCAGCTCGCGCACACCAGCTATACAGGCGTTAATACTGAATGTTTAACATTATATTCATTGCATACATATACTTCGTAGTAGACATCCTTAACTCCTTTCTGCTGTCTGTTGTTCTGTTGTTGGTGTTTCTTTGTTTGAATACGGTGCTTATCATATGATGTGTGGTATCGGCGTTTGGTATCGGGGCATTTTAACGAGTACGAGTACAGGAGACCAGTATCAGTATCGGCGTTAAGTAACTTGTGCATTGTTTTACTTACTTGTCTTTGACATATCCGACCGAACTATAAACTTTCCAATGATGTCTGTGAGAACGGTATATTCACTCGACAAGCTCGCGCATCTGCGCCGCCACGCGCTCAATCCACTCAGCATGCTTTGTTTATCAGCTCGCGCACATCAGCTATACAGGTGTTAATACTGAATGTTTAACATTATATTCATTGCATACATATACTTCGTAGTAGACATCCTTAACTCCTTTCTGCTGTCTGTTGTTCTGTTGTTGGTGTTTCTTTGTTTGAATACGGTGCTTATCATATGATGTGTGGTATCGGCGTTTGGTATCGGGGCATTTTAACGAGTACGAGTACAGGAGACCAGTATGGGGGTATCGGTATCGGTGCATCCCTAGTTGTTGGTAACTCTAAAGCACAGCAGCAAACAACTGACATAAGATGGCGGACACCAGCGAACTCCACGTGCGCCACTTAACCTACGCCACATTTCAATAATTTACCCGTCTCACCATCAAAATCATAAAATAATTACTTTTCACAACATATTGTCACTCCTGCGCACAATACCGATCTTTGTTTCATGTACAAACTTCCACCACAGTTGTCTCTGATCGCGTTCTATCTATGAGCAATTACAATACAGCGTTGTGGTGCTCAAAACCTACTTAAAGCAGCAAAACAACAATGAAAACTGTTCATGGACCCCTTAATTGAAATATACTGAATTATTCTTACCTGCAAGAAAAGATATGACAGTATAAAGTCAATCACATATGGAACGTCTCAATTCTGTGTTATCTATCTGCTCGTCTCCGCATGAACTGCTGTATTACGCGTTCTTGAGCAGACCTTGGCGAGAGCTCCGCCTAGTGGTTTGGATAATTTACACCACTGTGTACACATGAAAAGATGTAACATTCCTGCAGATATCCATTAAAGTATGTAAAAAGGAGCCCAAGACACACTTCAAGCACTTTCAGACATTTAGTCTGGATAG